TGGATATATATTTATGCATACTTTTCACGAGTTCTTCATTTTTCTGACTGTAAATGTCGTGCATTGAATTTAACAGAAATGTGAACGAGAGACGTTATTTATCTTTGACCCATCAAATGAATGGAATCATTTATTTTCAAAATCAAAGTTTAACATCAAACATTTACATTAATTTGGCAAAATATGAAAATAATAACAGACAGTTTCACAGAAAATGAACTTCAAATCACTCGGCGGTGATTTGAGGACTTTGCTTAAGATATTTCTAAAATATCTGTACTGATTTATGAGAGAGAGGTGGGTTTTAGAGTGAAAGGAGATTATCTTACAGAGAACTGTGTGAGGGAAGTTTAATCTGTTTAACCAGAAATTGCACGCTCCGTCAGATCCTCAGCTTCTCACGGTACACTTGGTCAAAATAGAACCATCTACCTGTTGACGATGAATCAGCGTTGGATGTAGTTCCTTTCTGACTCGTTTCAGCGTCTCCGTCGAGAGCTACCAAACCTTCAGAAAGTCGTGCGTTGATTAGCTCAAAACAGAATTATAATCCCAAACGTTCCTGGTTCTTCATAACTCCAAACTCTTCATAACCGGCTGCACTCTCAATCTGCTCATTCTGTTGGACTATCGGACCTGTTGTCAGCTCTCATTCCAACATCTCTCAGAACTCTCATTCTCTTGGAATTCTGGAATCCATAATTCTCTATTCCTTCTCTTCTCTATTTTTCTCTATTGAGAAGTTGCCACATTTTATTTGGGTCGACTTCCTGTTCAATTTAGAGCTTTCTGATTCGTGGAAGGACCAGAAAGAGGAGTGGATTTGTGACGTAAGATGTTATCATAAGTCAAGGATTGTTTACAACATACAGAAAAGATTATTGCAGCAACAGCAGACTTCGTGGAGTCTCACACTTTGTAATCTTTTCAAATAGTAAAACATGACATTTTTCTCGGTAAACATTTTAGTTGACCGAAAACCAACCTTTAACATACTTACGACAGCTTGCTCATTTCAGACAGAAAATCAAGAAAGGCATATTCAGGTGATTTCTTCTCTGAATGAGGAACAAAAATCATTACTTACTGTTTATGTAAAAATAAAAATTAGTAGTTCTTTTCAACCTGTAAAGCATTGAGTGAACTAACACAATTTGATTATCAAAACATTTGTAAGACAGTAATGATTATAAAGAATTGTCTTTTCTGCTTGATTAATTCAAGAAAGAAAGTTCATCAGATGGTTCAGACTTATTCAGATCAATGAAAATAACAGTCTCTGTCCATCTGGTATATTTGAGGTCTTCTGGTTCACTACACATTAAATCCATGAGTGCCATTGACGTAGAATTTTTAGGTCTAAACCCATATTGACTATTACTTAATATATTTTGCTTATTGATAAATTCATCTAATCTAGTGACAAATAATTTCTCTAAAATCTTCGAAAACTGTGGCAACAACGATATTGGCCTGTAATTATTAAACACACGTTTCTCTCCACTCTTATATAATGGTATTACCTTGGCTATTTTCATGTTATTTGGAAATACCCCTTTTGAAAATGATAAATTGCATATATATGTAAATGGCTCAATAACATAACTCATAATATTCTTTACCAGCATCATATCCATGTCCATCCAGTCTTTTGATTTTTTATCTGCAAGATGTTTTACAAGAGTCATAATTTCTTCTTTATCAGTTCCCCCAAGAAAAAAACTGTTTGTGTGATCTGTAACCGTATGGTTTACATTTTTATCTATATTTGGGATTTTTGCTGCCAGACTTGGGCCAATATTCACAAAATGTTCATTGAATCCATTTGCGATTTCATTTTGGTCATAAATTTCTTTGTCATCCTTTACAAAATATTGTGGAATGCTCGATTTTGTTTTATGATTATTCAGAACACTGTTCATTATTTGCCATGTTGCCCTCATATTACCATTACTTTTGTCTAATAATTCACTGTAATATTTCTTTTTATGCTTTCTTATAATCCCTACCAATTTATTTTTATTATTTTTATATCTCTGTTCTGCTTCGTTTGTTCTTAATTTCAGGAAGTTTGAGTATAAGTAGTTCTTTTTTTTTACAAGCATTTCTTAACCCTTTGGTCATCCACGGTTTGTCATCAACACGTTTCTTTGTGTCATTTTCTTGTACACAATTTTTTTCATACAAAGCTCCTAAAATATTCATAAATACATCGTATGCTTTGTTTACATCATCAACATATACATTCTTCCAATTTTGTTTTGTTAAATCTTCTTTTAGTTTATCTAGAGCTTTCTTTGATGTGTTTATTATTTTTTTCATAATTTTATCTACTTTCACATCATATTGATCTTTTTTATAGATAGTGAAGACTGGTAGGTGGTCACTGACATCCGTGATCAAAATGCCACCCATAAGTTCTTTATTTGTTATATTTGTAAAAATGTTGTCAATTATTGAAGCACTATGGGTAGTAATTCTTGTGGGTTTTGAAATCAATGGATAAAGATTTAAACTGTGCATTGAGTTTATAAATGTTCCGATATTATTTGAGTCTGTTTTATTTCCCAGGTCTATATTAAAATCTCCACACAAAAAAACTGATTTATTAGAACTTTTTTCCAATATTGTCATGATGTGATTGGTGAATGAGTCAATATTTGAATCAGGTGATCGATATACACAACTTATCATTATATTTTTGGAAGTCTCGTTTAATATTTCAACTGTAATCATTTCCATAAAGTTATCCACAGCTACTGACAATTTATTGATCATTTTACATTTAATTTCCTTATTCACAAGTAGAGCTACGCCTCCACCTCGTTTATTGTTTCTGTTCACATGATAAAGTTCATACCCTTCAATATTAACACTTTTTATATTTTCTTCATTTAGCCATGTTTCTGAGACTGCTATTATACTGAAAGTTCTATTTAACTGATTTAAATAATCTGTTATTTTAGATAAATTTGTGTTTATACTTCTACTATTAATATGAATAATGGAGAAGTCATCTTTAGACATTTTAATTTCATTGAATTTTTCTTCATTGTAATACTCACACTCTTTAATTTCAGGAAAAAAGTTTTTATCAATCACATCATCTATATTGTAAATTTTAAATTCTGAGTCTTTGTATGTTGTCATATTTCAATGTATGTGTCCATTTGTCATTTACCATTTTTAGCTTATCCATTTACCTTGTTTGTTTGTCTGTTTATATATGAATATGCTATATGAAGTAGCTTAGTGTGTGTTTTGTATTAGAATTAGAATAATTAGAAAGAGTTATTCATTTTGTTCTGTTACTTGAAAATTATTGATTGAAATAATTGTTTGAAAAAAGAGGCAGATATAATAAGATTTTTTCTTCTTTCTGCTGCCTTTCATTTTAAATCTTTTGTATTTTTTAAAGTTTATGGAATTGTTTTTTGTTTTTTTAAATGAATAAACTTTATACCATACCATACCAAATAGGGGTAGAATATAAAATATGACCCAAGTTCAGAAATCTGTGACTGCAGATGAAAGCTGAACAACTAAAATATGAAAAGAAGACTGCAAATGAATTACAAATTTTAAAAAAAATAGAGGATTTGTGTCATCATTAAAGAAATGTATCTTCTTTTGTCATGTTGTTTTTTTTAACCTGGAAAGTTTTTCTTCCAGCTTTAAATTGTTAAAAGTTGCTCTTGTAGAGTTCCAGACTGAACTGAAGAGAACAGATTTTATTTTATAACAAAGATACTTTAAGGATGGCACCATCTTGTTCTAAAATTGCGCCGCTCAAGGTGGCTGCATGTTGGAGCAGCTCTGTTACTTTCATTCTGAGATTTTGCTTTTTGAAACTTTAATTCCTCTTTTTCTGGATGTAAATCACATTTTTTGGATGATTGTTTCCTCTGGTATCAGATGCTGTGCAGCTGGAAGGATTTTTACTGAAACTTGTTTAGTTTTGGACATTTGTTATGATGCGTAACCATGGCAACAAGGCAGTTTTCTACAACCAACAGCAGCTGATTAACATCTCAAAAGCTCAAATAATATCTCAACTAAAGCCCCAAATCTCAAGTGAGTTGAAAAGGATGTTCTGTGGACGCATTCTCATCTACCTGCCAGCTGTGCTTGAGTTCCTGACCACTGAGATCCTGGAACTAGCAGGAAACACGGCTCATGACAGCAGAAGGAAAGGATCATCCCTCAGCACCTACAGTTGGATGTCCGCAGCAACGAGGAGCTTGGCAGACTGCTGGGAGGAGTGGCCATCGCTCTGGGAGGAGTTCTGCCCGCCATTCAGGCGGTCCTACAGCCCGGGGGAACCGAGAGGCCAGCTGAGTCTGGGTGGACGGATGGGACAGCATCTGCAGCCAGTTTCTTAGGATCCACTGTGGGATGGATCTTTACAAGAGATCCTTCCTGTCTACAGCATCAGTATCTATAACATCTCTTAATGAAATGAGGATAACGAGTTACAACAACAAATAATTTCCCTCTGGAATTAATAAAGTATTTTTGAATTGAATTGAATTGAATCTAGTGGGCCTTCCTTGTCTGTGCGCCCTTGTGTGTCTATTTATTCTCTATTATTTACACCTTCTGTTCCCAGCTGTTTGTAATCATGTCCCGTCTTGTCTGTGTATATAAGTCTGTCTGTTAGTCTTGTTCATTGTTGCGTCGTCATTGGGTATCGTCCTGTTCTGTCCTGCCAGCCTGATCTGATTCCCTGTTTTTGTAAGTTGCTGCCAAGTCAGCCTTTTTTATTTATCATTATTAAAGAGCATTGATTTTTGTAATCCTGCAGACCTGACTCTTACCTGCACTATTGAGTTCATTCCTGTCCTGCTCCGTCAGAAACCCTGACAGATACAGTGTCTCACCTGTCAGCCACGTGTGTTTGTTGTGCCATAGAACAGTTAAATATAGGTTTGGACCAAAGCTGTAGTTTGGCTCATCATTCATTTCCATTTGTATGTTTTGACCAAGCTGCTGTGTTTCAGCTCAACGATGGGATGTATGACATTGTCTCTCTGGTGTTGGACAACTATCCTGGAAACTCATCAAGCACAGAGCAGGCATGGGACTTCATCCAGAGGAATGTGAGTTCAGTCTGAAACTGTCTGTCTGGCTCATTAGTGATGCTGTCATGTCACATGGAGCAGAAAACACAGAAAATTTAAGTTGTTCCAAGTACATTAGACTTTTAACAAGAACTGGAAACGTCACTCAGTCTAAGACTGTTGTCTCAATCTGGAAAAATACAGGACATGGTTATATTCCTGTGGGGTTCCGCAGGGCTTAATTCTTGGACACCTTTTGTTTTCACGGCATCTGCTCCCTTTGGTCTATCCTGAGGAAACATGGTGTTTCATTTCATTGCTATGCTGACGATTGTCAGATTTTTCTGCCGTTAAAGCCCAATAGTTCATGCACAATTCACCCTCTATTAAAATGTCTTTACATTAAGGCATGGATGGCTTCCAATTTTTTAAGTTTTAATTATCAGAAAACTGAAGTTATTGTGTTTAGCCCTAGCTCTACTTCTGTATCTGTTCCTGTAAATCTTGACTCTTCAGCAATATCTTAAGCAGTCTATTACAAATCTCAGGATGGTTTTAGATTCTGACTTGAGGTTTAATGAACAGATTTTCTGTTCTGCAAAAAAGCTTCTTCCAGTTAAGGCAGATAGCTAACAGTGTTTCCCCTAGATAACGTGCCATGGCAGGGCGCTCATCTCGTCCATGATTTTTGTTCGGGGGGGCGGACGAAGACTTGTCCTAAGCTGCACAGCGCACTGCTTAAACCAACAGTTTTGGGGGGGACACAGACAGCCGCGCGCTGTTTGCACTGACAGTTTTACAGTTTTGGAGCAGGGTGTGTGAGAAGAGAGCGACAGAGACACATATCAGCCGTGCGCTGTCTGAACCAACAGTTTTTTGTTTTTTTGGTGGGGTGGGGGGGGACAGACGCACATCTGAGCCGTGCGCTGTTTGTATAGACAGGTTTCGAGTGGCAGGGGTGCGTTCAGCGTGAGGGTTCAATATGAATGAAGAGGCTGCCTTTAGCTTTTAAGCTAGTGCACCTGCATTGCGAGCCGCTAGTTTAGCGTTACGTCAGTGCCGATAGGTGGTTGGGGGTGGGGTTCGGTAGACGGAGCACTCTGTTCTGTTGACGGGGCGGGGTGCCCCGCTTGTATAATGGTAGGGGAAACACTGGCTAAGCTTTAAGTCCGTGTTGACCAGATCTGACCTTGGAAAAAATAGCCTATGCCTTCATTACAACCCGGCTGAACTACTGTAATGTGCTTGATGTTGGGGTCAGTCAGGTGTCCTCTCACGTCTCCAGCTCGTCCAAAATGCTGCAGCTCAGCTCTTAACAGGAACTTAGTTTGATCACATTTCACCAGTTTTGTCCTCCCTTCGCTGGCTCCCAGTATGCACTAGAGTATATTTTAAAATTCTCCTGTTGACCTTTAAGTGCCTAAATGGCCTTGCACCCTCATACCTCTCTGACCTACTTCAACCAGATGTTCCTTCTCGGGCACTGAGATCATCTGACCAGCTGCTTTTGGTTGAAGCTCAGAGGAGATCGGGCTTTTTCAGTCGTGGACCCTATACTCTGGAACAATCTGCCCCCAACATTAGACAGGCTCCTTCACTTCCTGTTTTTAAATCTCTTTTAAAAACACACCTGTATTCACTGACCACAGTGATAAATAAGAAAATGTAATTAAAAGCATCAAAAGAAAAACATAAATGACCCTAAACAATGAAATACTAAATCAAAACCTAAAAACACACTAATCACTAATTTGATTTACTATTTCATTGTTTTATGTTTTTATGCTTTTCTTTTGATGTTTTTAATTACATTTTGTTGTAATAATAATAATAATAGTAATAATGAATGGTATGGGTTTTTTCAGCTGTCTTAGTTCTAATTGAAACAAAGTTTAATCCCAGCAGCTTGTTGATCTTGTGGAAATAAGTGTATATTTGATCATTTCCTGCTGTGTTCTGATGATCTTGCTTCACGTTCTGCAGATGCATTGCTGTGGATGGCACAGCCCTCAGGACTGGAGCAACAACAGCATCATCATTAACAGCGGCAAGCTGCTGTTTCCCTGCTCGTGTCAGAACACTTCCCTCGCTTCCAGAAATGTCTCAGACAGCGGATTCTGTGAGGCTCTGACCTCTGATTGGCCCGTCTATGATGTGGTAAAACACTTCCTGGTTCTGTGTCCTATCTTACACAACCTTATTTCTCAGGGCTAATCTGTTTGTTTGGATCAGGGATGTGCTGCCAGTGTGAAGAATTGGCTCCTCACCAACATTGGAGTGGTCTTGGGGATTTGCATCGGAGTGGCTTTTATTGAGGTAACATGAAGCTTTATCCAGTCATTGCTGTCGTTTTAGCTGAAGTAACACAATAATGTCAGAGTTTCTTTATTTGTCATTCATACCGCATGTGGTACATGTGGTACCAAATTGTGTACACAGGGTCCCAGTTACATCCAACAATAAAAGAATAACAGTAATAATATCTAAGATCTTATTACTGTTAAGAGACAAATAAAAACATTAACTAAAAATACGCTAAGCACTAATGGCATTGAACCAATACGCCAAACAGCACGAACATGAGTCTGTGTGAGCAGATGACTATGAATGAACACAGCAACATGAAACAGATCAGCAGCAACATGAAACAGATCAGCAGCAACATTGAAACAGATCAGCAGCAACATGAAACAGATCAGCAGCAACATGATGTGATTTTTCACAGTGATTATTCTGGTTAGAGATTCATGAGTCTACCAGCCTCAGGGTAGAAGCTGTTCCTCAGTCTAGTGGTTCTACACTTAATGCTCCTCAACCTCCTTCCTGAGGGGAGTGGGTCAAAAAGTGTGTGTGCTGGGTGAGTGAGGTCCTTCATGATGCTGGTGGCTCTCTTCCTGCATCTGGAGGTGTAGATGTCTGTGATGGTGGGGAGACTGACTCCAACATCTTCTGTGCAGCCTTCACCACTCTCTGCAAAGCTTTTCTTTCTGCAGCTGTGCAGCCTCCATGCCACACGTTGATGCTGGAGCACAGGATGCTCTCCACTGCACACCTGTAGAAGGAGGTGAGGACTGAGCTTCCAGACCAGCTCGTCTCATCCGCCTGAGGAAGTAGAGTCTCTGATGAGCTTTCTTGATCAGGCTGGTGGTGTTGATGCTCCAGCTGAGTTCATGTGCACATCCAAGTATTTGTAGCTGGAGACCACTTCCACCACGGATCCTCCTATGTTTACCGGGGGGGGGGGGGGTTTGTTAGGTGTGTTTGTTCCTTCTGAAGTCCACAATCATCTCCTTTGTCTTCTTCACATTGATGTGAAGGTTATTCTCTTTGCACCAGCTCTCTAGGTGTTCCACCTCTTGCCTGTAGCTGGACTCATCATTGTTTGTGATGCATCCCACCACCGCTGTATCATCTGCAAACTTTACAATGTGACAGCCTGGATGGGTAGCTGCACAATCATATGTGAGCAGAGTAAACAGGAGGGGGCTCAACACACATCCCTGAGGAGAGCCAGTGCTGAGGGTTATTGTGGTGGAGGAGAAGTTGTGAATCCTCACAGACTGAGGTCCGTTTGTTAAGAAGTCTAGTACCCAGTTGCGAATGGAGGGGCTTAGTCCTAGTGTGAATAGTTTGTTCATCAGGGTTTGGGGGATCATGGTGTTGAAGGCGGACGTGATGTCCACAAAGAGCATACGGACGCTAGAGTCCTTGTGCACTAATGTTTGACTAAGAGCTGAGATTCAACCAGAACAGATGAAAACTGCACGGTTGTTTAAATTTTTCACATTGCCTAATTCAACTCCATTAGGAAAATATCTCACAATCCGCCAGACATAATTTAATGTTTATAAAAATTTTACCAGTTCAAAATGGCTGCCACCACCAAATGACCTCAGAAAACAATAGAGGCTTTAACTCTTTCAATTTTACAGCTACAGTACATAAACAAACAAACAAACTCTGACAGACATTCACATCTTCATATTCAGGTAACAACAAACCAGACCTTAAAATGAAGAAAATTGAAGTTTCTGTGTCAGTAAAAAATTGTAAATATCAGTTAATGCACTGAAGGATGTTTGATTTTGGGTGAAAGAAATAAAGTTTGAGATGTTTAATTACAGACAAAACTAAGTATAAGATCATGTCCTTGGGGAACGCCATGTTAAAGCAAAAGTTCTTCTTTTTTTATTCTTTCAACAAGAATGATGAAAATATAGGATTGCTTTTCAGTTTTGTATATTGTACTAAAGAGACAATGTAAAATTAAAGAATGAATGAATAAATAGATAGAATGATTGAAATTACCGTAATTTCCAGAATATTAAGCACACCTGAATTTAAGCCATGTTCACTTAATTAAAAAAAAATGTACATATACAGGTCCTTCTCAAAAAATTAGCATATTGTGATAAAAGTCATTATTTTCCATAATGTAATGGTAAAAATGAAACTTTCATATATTTCAGATTAATTGCACACCAACTGAAATATTTCAGGTCTTTAATTGTTTTAATACTGATGATTATGGCATACAGCTCATGAAAACCCAAAATGCATGTCCCAAAAAATGAGCATATTTCATCCCACCAATGAAAGACAAGTGTTTTTAATACAAAAAATGCCAACCTTCAAATAATCATGTTCAGTTACGCACTCAATACTTGGTCGGGAATCCTTTTGCATGAATGACTGCTTCAATGCGGCGTGGCATGGAGGCAATCAGCCTGTGGCACTGCTGAGGTGTTATGGAGGCCCAGGATGCTTCGATAGCGGCCTTAAGCTCATCCAGAGTGTTGGGTCTTGTGTCTCTCAACTTTCTCTTCACAATATCCCACAGGTTCTCTATGGGGTTCAGGTCAGGAGAGTTGGCAGGCCAATTGAGCACATTAATACCATGGTCAGTAAACCATTTACTAGTGGTTTTGGCACTGTGAGCAGGTGCCAGGTCGTGCTGAAAAATGAAATCTTCATCTCCATAAAGCTTTTCAGCAGATGGAAGCATGAAGTGCTCCAAAATCTCCTGATAGCTAGCTGCATTGACCCTGCCCTTGATAAAACACAGTGGACCAACACCAGCAGCTGACATGGCACCCCAGACCATCACTGACTGTGGGTGCTTCACACTGGACTTCTGGCATTTTGGCATTTCCTTCTCCCCAGTCTTCCTCCAGACTCTGGCACCTTGATTTCTGAATGACATGCAAAATTTGCTTTCATCTGAAAAAAGTACTTTGGACCACTGAGCAACAGTCCAGTGCTGCTTCTCTGTAGCCCAGGTCAGGCGCTTCTGCCGCTGTTTCTGGTTCAAAGGTGGCTTGACCTGGGGAATGTGGCACCTGTAGCCCATTTCCTGCACACGCCTGTGCACGGTGGCTCTGGATGCTTCTACTCCAGACTCAGTCCACTGCTTCCGCAGGTCCCCCAAGGTGTGGAATCGGCCCTTCTCCACAATCCTCCTCAGGGTCCGGTCACCTCTTCTCGTTGTGCAGCGTTTTCTGCCACACTTTTCCCTTCCCACAGACTTCCCACTGAGGTGCCTTGATACAGCACTCTGGGAACAGCCTATTCATTCAGCAATTTCTTTCTGTGTCTTACCCTCTTGCTTGAGGGTGTCAATGATGGCCTTCTGGACAGCAGTCAGGTCGGCAGTCTTACCCATGATTGTGGTTTTGAGTAATGAACAAGGCTGGGAGTTTTTAAAAGCCTCAGGAATCTTTTGCAGGTGTTTAGAGTTACGTCGTTGATTCAGATGGTTAGGTTAATAGCTTGTTTAGAGAACCTTTTCATGATATGCTAATTTTTTGGGACAAGCATTTTGGGTTTTCATGAGCTGTATGCCATAATCATCAGTACTAAAACAATTAAAGACCTGAAATATTTCAGTTGGTGTGCAATGAATCTGAAATATATGAAAGTTTCATTTTTATCATTACATTACGGAAATTAATGATCTTTATCACAATATGCTAAGTTTTTGAGAAGGGCCTGTATAAGCCACACTTGTCTATAAGCCGCAGGTGTCCACGTTGTAACATATTTACACAGAAAGATTTGATAAACATTTAATTAAATCCAACAATTTCTCCTGATGCATGCTCAGTAATCCAGGTAGAAAAATCCAAAAAAGTTCAATCTGCAGTTTGACTCCCATCACCCTTTGGAGCACAAGTTAGGAGTCATCAGGACTCTGTATCACAGAGCAGACAGCGTCCCCACTAGCTCAGGAGCCAGGCAGAAGGAGAAATCACACACAAGACAGGCTCTAGAGCAATGTGGATATCCTAACTGGGCCTTCCTGAAAGCAGAGAAGAAACCCAAACAGGACTCCAGTCAGCCAACAGGTGAAAAGGAGGAACCCAGACCAGTGGTCATTCCATATGTTGAGGGAGTATCAGAGAAACTGAGACGTTTATTTTCTAAACATAACGTCCCAGTGGCTTTTAAACCCCAAAATACATTACGGCAAAGACTGGTTCATCCCAAAGATCCAGTCCCCCGGCACAAACAGAGTAATATTGTGTATGCTGTTCAGTGTCAGGAGGGTGATCAGTCTTACATCAGGGAAACTAAACAGCCACTGGCCAAAAGGATGGCCCAGCACAGAAGATCAACATCATCAGGCCAGGACTCTGAGGTCTACACTCATCTCCAGGCCAGCGGTCACTCTTTCAGGGATGAAGATGTTCACATCATGGACAGAGAGGAACGATGGTTTGAGAGAGGAGTAAAGGAGGCCATCTTTGTGAAAAGAAATCGTCCATCATTAAACAGGGGTGGAGGCCTCCAGGTTCAACTGTCCCCCTCTTACAATGCTGTGATTGCTAGTATCACTCAGCCCTCTGTGAACAGTAAACAGCCATCAGGTGCTAATGATCCATTGTTAGACTGATGGTCCTTCTTGAGCATGTGATCAGCTGGTTTTGGTTGTCAGCAGCAAAACTGGTTGATCCACTCTGAGAAGGTGCTATTTAAGAGACTGAGCTGAATACAGCACCTCAGAGAAGTCTCTCGGATGAGAGATGAAACGTTTCTACATTTTTTTGCTTTGTTTTTTTTTGTTTGTTTTTTTAATGTCCAGAGGACCAGATTGAACTTTTTTGGATAAATCCAACAATGTTCAGTCAGGTCATCTGGACGGTTTCTTTTGTTGCTGAGACGTTTCGTCTTTCATCCTAAGGACTTCTTTAATGTATTATTAAGTGTATAACAGATTATAAAGGCAGAGATAAAGAATAAATAGATAGAGATAAAGAAACGTTGACTTCTTCAGTCTGACGAGCCCACAAAACCAAACTGAATCCCACAAACAGCTC